TACTAGGTATATAGCCCAGAGAAATAAGATTTATATCGCAAACTGACATACTTACACCCATGCTTACTACAATGTTATTTATAGTCATAAACAGTTGGAAACAAGTAAAAAGCCCATCAGTGAACAAATGGCTAATGAAACTGTGTTACATTCACACAATGGAGTATTATACATCACTAAAAAAAGGCCAACCATTTGTGAAAGGCTGCTTAAGAATGAAACTAGAAAAAATTTTCTGACTGACATTAAGTTAGTCAAAAAAAGGACAAGGCCACTAATATTACATGCTAAATAAAGGCTTTCACACAAATAGAATCAGTTTCAGAGAGTTAACAGAGACAAGAAGGAAGGGAGAAAGGAGGGAAAAATATACCATGTTCATTTTAAAAAAATACAGAGAAAAGTACATGGGTCAGCAATTAGAACCAAATGAGAGTTGTGGGTTATCCTGTTGGAACCTTTCCATTTCCCTGAGCATTTCCTCTGAGCGATATATCCCTGGCAGAACTCTTGGAACTTTGCCTATCCCTAAGGGAAACCTGTCCCTCTACCATCAAACTACTGGACAGGACAGGGAAGCGGGTCCACCACAAGTGGACAAAGGGAGAGATCCCATTCCCTGCCCCTGAAGGGACAACTGCAGGAAAAAGGAAACAGAGCTACTCAAAGACAACCAGGTGGAAATATTGCCACTTGGAAAACTGAACCTGGGGCAACACTGAAAATATGCAATTTATCAATAGCATCATAAAGACTAGGAACTGACAACAACCTGTATAGACACAACAGAAACTGCCTCACAAATACCAAAAAAGAACTTCACATAATGTCAAGGAAACAAGAGGAAGCTTCAAACATCCTTGGGGGGGGGAAGAACCCCAAACAAATCTCCTCCTGAAAAATCAGAGCAGAATGCAGACTCAATTACAGGTAGGCAGAAGTAATATATTGACACGGAGGTACATGAACTGCTATTGAAGAAGTTACAATGATGGAAGAAATAATTGAAACCATAAATACAAAGGGACAATAATTTTAAAAAGCATTGTAAGACAAAGAGGGTACAACCAGCACAGTACAGCAAATAACAGAAATGCATGGAAATGCAATCCTGAATATTAAGATTGAAATGGCAGAATTTTTCAACATTCTGGGGGGAACAAAAAAAAGCATAACAGCTGAGATGGGACAAAGAATCAGGATAAGAACCACAATGGAAACTTTCTAAAAAAGGAGAGAAAGAGAAGGAAGGAAAATGGAAAAAAGATATTAGAATTATATGAGATAACATCAAATGGAACAACATATATGTGATCAGAATTCCAGACCAGGAGGAGAGAAGAACTGAAAAAATTGTGGAAGAGGTACTAGAAGCAAATTTCCTAGGTACCATGAAAATTGAGGAAATCCATATTCAAGAAATTCTGTGAACTCCAAATAGTCTAGACCTCAAAAGAATAACATCAAGACATAACACAGTCAGATTCTTCAAAGTAAAAAATAAGATTAGAATACTAAAAGCAGTACAAAATAAATAAATAACCACCTATAAATGAGAATCAATTATATTAAGCTTTGACTTTTCAATGAAAACCATGCAAGAAGACGACCTGGGATAGCATATACAGAAAGTTGATCGAAAACAATTGGCTGAGGAGCCTGTATCCGGCTAAGCTGTCCATCAATATGAAGGAGAAATTAAGTCATTTGCAGAAAAACATGGGCTAAGAAATTCATAAAAACAAGACTAACTCTTTAAGAAATACTAAGGGAAGTCCTTCACCCAGCAAAGGAAAGTAGATGGACCTAAGTAACCAGCAAAAAGAGAAAAGGCAAAATGGCAATGAAAGAACTTGGCTTGTCAATAATCACAATGTGAATGGACTAAATGCACGGATTAAAAGGAAAAGAATAGCAGAATGGATTTTTTTTTTAAAAAAGAAAGCTCAAGTGAACTAACTCAGTCTCATAAAGACAAATATTGCATAATGCCATTATTGTAAAATTAGTACAAGGATCTGGGGGGGGTCACCTAATCATAGGGTCATACAATTTGATGGGTGGAAGGAGGAGAGGATAAAGGAAAGGGGAAAGATACGGTGTGAAAAACAATGTATACAAACTTTATATGCTTTGTAAGTAAACCAGTATAAAATTTTTTTTAAAAAAGGAAAGCTCGTCAATATGTTGCCTAAAAGAGACACATCTAAGAAACAAGCGAAAAGATTAAAAAGCAAAGGGTGGGGGGAAAATATATACCAAGGAAGTGGCATCCCTAAGAGTGCAGGAGTGGCAATACTAGTCTCTGATAAAAAGACTTCAGGATGAAAGTCACCATAAAAGATAAGAAAGGACACTAATTATTAAAGGCACAATAAATCAAGAAGACATAACCATAGTTAACATCTATGCATCAAATGATAGACCTGCAAAATACATAAAACAAAGGGTAACAGATGTGAAGGGAAAGATAGCACCAAAATAGTAGTAGGAAGTTTTTAGTGCACAACTCTCACCAAAGGATGGGTCAACTCAAAAGAAACTCAACAAAGATGCAGAAGAACTAAATTACACAATAAGCCAACTTAACAGGGTACTTCATTCAACTATAACTCAATCTGCCTTCTTCTCAAGTGTACATGGTACATTCTCCAGAATTGATCATATATTAGAACACAAAGTAATTTTTGACAAATTAAAAAAACATTTTAAAAAAATACAAAATATCTTCTCAGAAGACAATGCCATAAAGCTAGGAATTAACAAGAAGATAAGAGACTAAAAAAAAAAAAAGAAAGAAAGAAAAAGAAAAACCAACCCTGCTCCATGGAAGCGAAACAGCATTCTATACGAGCACTATTGGGGTATAGAAGAAATAAAAATAAAATAAAAATTACCTCAAAATGAATGAATATGAAAATACAGTATGTCAAGACCTCTGGGATAGAGAGAAGGCAGTGTTCAGCGTTCATAGCAATAGCTAAACATATATTTTAAAAAAAAAAAAGGAAGGGGAAGGAGAAGAAGAAAGGAGAAAAATAAACTACCAAACTCAATTACCTCCAGCAAATAGAAAAACAGCAACAAGCTAATCTCACCCAGCCTTTAGAAGAAAAAAAATAAGGACAATGGCTGAAGTCAATGGGATAGAAAACAGGAAAACAATTAAAAGAATCAATTGGACTAGGTGTTGGTTCTTTGAAAAGTGCAACAATGAATGAATGGAATGCCAAAATCTCTGCAGATGTTCATTGAAATTAATAATAATAATAATAACAATAAAAAATTTTAAAAAACCAAACCAAAAAAATCTCAATGGAAAAGAAAAAAAAAGGACATTAAAATAGTCAAACCATTGGCAAACTTAACTAAGGAAAAGAGATATAAGACACAAATAACTCAAATAACAAATTACAGTGATAACATCACCACAGAATCAAATGAAATTAAATCTAAAATATCAGAATATTATGAAAAGCTATACTCTGATAAATTTGAAAACCTAGAGAAATAACTCCCTCACAAATATATATATATATATTCTCCAGATAAAGTAGTCTTCACAGCAGAATTCTGCTAAACATTCAGAGATGAACTATTACCAATGCTATTTAAATTATTTAAAAAATAGAAAATGTAAGAAGGAACACTCCCAGAGTCATTCTTTGAAGCAAGCACCAAAACCAGGCAAAGACATTACCAAAAAAGTAAGTACCATAAACAATATTTCTCATGAACATAGCTGCAAAAGTTCTTAACAAAAGTTAACAAAAGTTCTTAACAAAATCCTGGTCAATAGAATCCAACAGTACGTATATCAAAAAACATGACCAAGTGGGATTCATAACAGATATACAAAGATGGCTCAACATAATAAAAAATAATCAACATAATTCATCACATTAACAAAGCAAATAACATAAACCTCACGATCCTATAAATTGATGCAGCAAAGGCCTTTGATAAAATCCAATAGCCCTTCCTAATTAAAATAATCAACAAATAAGAATAGAACAGAATTTCCTCAAAATAGTGAAAAGTACATTTACAAAGCCAATGGTCAACATCATTCTCAATGGAGAAAGACTAAAGGCATTCCCCTTGTGAAGAGGGACCAGACAAGGATGCCCACTATCACTACTTCCAGCTCTGATGGCCTAGTGGCAAGAAGCTGCATTGCAATCCCAAAGGTATATAGTTCAAGGTAACCATGGGAGAAGGATGGTCAAACTACTCCCTTGTGGTTAACTGCCTCTGAAAACCCACTGGAGGGTCAGCTATATGTTGGTTCTGACTCGATGGTACACAACAATAATTCAATATTATATTGGA